AGGACAGGAAGGCCTGGCGCAATATGGTTCATGGGGTCACGAAGAGTCGGACACGACTTAACGACTGAACAACAAAAATGTCAACTACATGGGTTACCTTTCACTTATATCCTCCATAAAACATATCACCAACTCATTAAAATACACAGATGGACCGCAACACAGGAAATGCAAATAACACCAACATTGTATAAGGAGCATAACAAGAAATATGAATTAGTGGTGACATTTTGATGCCGTTTTCAGAGTGATCTCTAATACAGGTCAAGATTTCTCCCTGCACACATTACTGAAAAGGAAACCATACATACATACCGCACTTGGACTTGAAACTGTCCCTTGAGGACTTGAAGTTCTTAGAAGCCCTCTGAGGAATGTCAATTTTTCCAGGTCTGACGTCTGGTGATGAAAGACTGAGATTGAAATCTTTAATATAGGCCTCTAAAGCCTGAGAGGCAGAACTATATAACTTGTCCTTGTATTGGACTGGACTGTGGATATTCAGGGAATCATGGCCACTGTTAAGGCTACTACTTGCTAGAAGAGATGACACGGTTGTTTCTGGAGAGCAGACACTTTTTTTTTTAACCAAGCAGGACATTACTTTTCATTCAGGGGCCTTCTGGAACTGCTCCTGAAGCCTTCGAAATCTGTCAGTAAGTAAGAAAGTATGGATTTTGAGCAATCTACTCTGAGACACAATAATGCATTTTAAAATCTGCCACGATTTTCACATGTAAACCCCCCTCCCAAAGAGGGGGCATTTTGTTTTACTAATTTCCTTCATAATTTATGTTGACTGTGGTACTTTTACAATGCTGTAGGTATACTGTACAGTTAAGGACCGAAAACCCCCAAAGTAATATTTTTGCTAAATTGGACAGCAAGCAGTATTTCCTTGTGTCAAATTAAATCATAATCCTGAAAAAAATGTTAGAAACTAAATTGTACAGTTAGATACACCTATTTGGGACAATCATGCTGCTCATTGGCTTGTGAGATCTATGATTAAGATTACAGATTTAAAAAAAAAAACAAGTCACAAGGATGTTATGCAAACTGATTTTATACTCAACATTTTACAGGAAGAGGAATATATAGTGAACAAAGCAAAGGAAGAGCAATTTGCAGCCACCCAATGCTGGCTGTTCTATGCATGGAATGTTTTGCTACTTTAGTGTCTTGTGTTTACCCGGACATTATGGACTGCAGAATGAGGTATATGGCTTACTGGATTGTGTGAACCCAGTCAATTGTGATTTATTTAATAAAGGAGCTATAACATGCCAAATGAACCCAGTCATATCTTTTTATCAATATAACTACTAAAACTCTCATGTCCGTTTGTCTGTCTGTAACCTTCAATTGAGTGAAACGGTGGCTCATAGGGCAACAATTTTTGAACGAAGGTACCTCAGAAGGACTAATTTACAGAATGCGCCCAAAATCTGGGACCCATTACTCCCATGGAATAGAAGTTTGGCAAAGTTGTGGCTGCTTCAGCGCTGCTGTGCTGCTGCCGCTTCAACACTACCACGGTCAGCCGCGGTCACATGATTTTCAACACTCCCTGACAGCTTCCCACAAGTCGATGGGGAAGCCAGCAGGAAATCTAAACTCAGTTGTGATTCCCAATGCTCCCTGCCAGCTTTCCACAAGCAAAGTCAGTGGGGAAGCCAGCAGGAAGTTGCAAGTCCCAGGCTGGCAGACAGATAAGTGGCTGCTGCTGGGTAGGGGGAGGGAGGAGGGACTGTGGGGGTGCAGGGAGAGTACACAAGGGTGTGTGTGTGAGAGGTGCCACACCAGTCAGGAAGGGTGCGTGAGAAGTGCCGTGTGGGTTGGGGAGGGTGCGCAGGGGTGCAGCGTGCGTCGGAAAGGGGGCGTGGGGGTGCATGAGAGGCGCCGTGCAGGTCGGGGAGGGCATGTGGGGGTGTGGCGCAGGTCAGGAATAGCGTGCAGGGGTGCGGCGCGGGTCGGGAAGGGTGCACGGGGGTGCCCGAGTGGCTGGTGTGGCACAAGCGCAGAGGGGCTGGGGGGCGCAGCCGGAGCAGGTACCCCCTCCTCTCAGGAAAATGCTTCGGGCATCTTTTTACAGTGAACAGCAATCCACGGCATCGAAGGCCACCGTTAGGTATTAATCTGTGAAGCAGAGTTGCCTCTGAGCCAAGCTGATTTCTGTCGATTCCCATTTGCCATTTTCTTAAGAATAATGGTATAGGAAAGATTGCCATTGCCTCCCTCCAGGGTGGATTTTTTAAAAGCTTCCCAGCCCAGCCTACAGTTTGGAATTTGCTGGTGGTCTCCCCCATCCCACTACACCACCCGCGATGGACCCCCTGGCGGTCTCCCATCCCAGGTCTGACGCTCCCTAGCTGCCCAGGTCAAGCAAGGTCAATTAGTTTGCTGAAATACATGGGCTGAATGCCACAAAACGCAGTGTTGTTAGTTTAGATGCAACACTTGAGCGCAGGTCCCTCCCTGGAAACCATGCTTTACAACCCTTCCCCCTCACAGAAAGTACCTTCGGCTCTGATCAGTGAAAGTCACCCCTTCACACGTGACGCGTGTAACGCCCTGGGGACATGTGTGAATGCGTTACCCGGCCAAACGGCTTTCGGTGGCTTAGACGCGAGCCTAATCCTCTCTGGGCTCTCCCAGTCATGTAAAAGAAGCCCAATCGCGCTCTCCCTCCGCCTCACCTGCATCCCCGGCAGACTCTCCTCCCGCCCGCCGGTTTGAAAGCGAATTGCCCCTTCCTTGCCAAAGGGCGCCTTTGGCTGGACTCGAAGGCGCATGCTCCGTCCCCGCCGCGCGTTCATTGGCCACGCGAGGCAGGAGAGCCTGGGACCACAACTCCCGGCAGGCGTCGGGGCCGAAGGCATCACAATGCCGGCCAGCCGCACACCGCCCTCTCCTGCTCAGGCCCCGCAGTTACAGCTGGCAGCCGGGGAGGCGGAGGCGGCGAGGGATGCTCGGAGGTGAGGGCGGGTGCGCGCGGTGCTCTTGGCGGCGAGCGACAGGGAGGCGGGAGGACCACAGCTGCCGGACACATCTGGAAGGCAGCAGCAGAGCCGAGAGGTCGCACGAGATGCTTTGCACTTCCTTAAAAAAAACAAAATAATAATAAAATTGCCAGCCCGGGTCCCCAAAATGGCAATTTGTCCTGGAAAACCCTCTCCCTGATCTCAGTTGTCCTCAGAGCTTGGGGCCACAATCTTGGGGCTTCCTAGTGGTCTCCCATCCACTCTGACGCCGCCGCTCAAGTTTTTTTAGGGGCTGCTTTAGACAACCGAGCGGGGGCCAGACTTTGAGAAAATCCCGGGAGCTGGATGATTAGACAGGATAGACTATAGAAAGAAGAGCATTATGGTTTAACTTGAGAGAGAGAGAGGTTAAAATATAATAAACTGCGGTGAAGAATATCAGAAGCCACTTCTTTGTATCTTTTTTCTTCCTTTTCTATTTTTCTTCAACTTTTTTTTTCTTTTCTTGCACTTTTTTTGGCTCTTTGCTTTCTTTCTTTTTTTCTTCCTTACTTTATATTAGTTTGTGTTAGTTTTTACCTTCTTCTTTAAAAGCTTCAATAAAAATCATATTAAAAAAAAAGAAAAAGCAAAGCCCAGGAGCATGGACTGGGAGATTCAAGGAACTTTCTGGAAGAAATCAATAACAAACCACTTCCTCACTGCGATCCAGAAAATGATGTGGGCATTTCCATAACTGGGACTCAAGAGAGAACTGACCTTTTCAAGGGGCTGTTACAGCCTGGTTTATAGAGCTATCCGCTGACTACAAAACCGGCCGAGATTTGTAGCAGGCTGGGTTGCAACTATCCACATCATGCATGCACAGCTGTCTCTCCGCCATCATGCGCCGTACTCAGCATAATCTTCAAACTTAAAAACTTTCCACAAGTTGTTTCTTAGTTGTTTCTTCCTGACAAGCGAAGAACTCAGGGATGATGTCTGCAATTCAGGAGGACCCCTGCCTGCAGCTCCTTTCCTTCCCGGCATTACTCAGACCCCATAGGTTTTCAAGGGTGAGACCTGAGGGAGCAAGTCAGTAAACCAGCTGAGCTTGATGGCTGAGAAGTTATATGTGGGAGAAGGGGATTCGAGAAATCAGATTTTATTTGCACTTTAGCCAGCAATATCTATTATTAATTTATTAGATTGATACCTGGCGTTTATTTTGTGCCGCTCAAGGTGACACACATAATGCTCCCTCCTCCTGTTTTCCCCACAACAACCACCCTGTGAGGTGGGCTGGACCGAGAGAGAAAGAAAGTGACTGTCCGAAAGTCACCCAGCCAGCTTTCATGCCTAAGGGAGGCCTAGAATTCAAAGTCTCCTGGTTTCTAGGCCAGCACCTTCCCCACTGCACCTGTCTGGCTCTTAATATTTCCAAGTGTAACTTTTGAACGGTTCTGCTGAAATGATCCTTGGGGTCAAACGCTGCAGACACAGAGCTCATGCAGGCTAGATCCCTATAAGGGAACAACTGGGTGGAGCAGAAACTTTCGGGGTGCTACTGACCTTCCCTGTGCAAACCTTTGGAAATAAAACGCAATTAGAAAGTGAGCATTGTGACCTGACATTTAGGAAGAAACAAGTTTTATGTTTCTTATTGATTGACCCACCACTCTGATATACCACCGGAATATGTTTCTATAAGGACTAGATTTAATAAGACGGATCTAGGTTTACATTAGTAGATTTAATACATGCTAAAGGATTAACAGATTTAAAGATATGTTAAAAGGTTGAACTAGATTTATATTAATATAATATGGATCCCTTTTTCCCTTTCGGTTTTAGTTCACTTTACACATTCCTTTCGACTGTGTAACCACTGTATTTTAATTCTGGACTACATTTTTGGTTGTTGTGTTTCATATATAAAACAAGACTTATTGCTTGCCTGAGGGCATCGGCCTTTGAAGATTAAGTTATGAATGATCTTCTCTGCTTCTTAAGTTCCAGGTTTTGTTTTATTCTGTTTCGCTTTTTGATTTCCTGAAAGTAGGATGCAGTCTTGTGGAAATGAGAGAGAATGTTAGGAAGTCATTTTTGGATGAGTTCCCAATAGTCCCCAAACTGGCACACTCCAGATGTGTCGAGACTGCAAACTCCCAGAATTCCCAAGTTGGCCACCTTGATTGGGGAATTCTGGGAATTGCTGCCTCAGTTCCCTCCAGAGAACATCAGGTTGGAGAAGCCTGTCCCGGTTCAACATTTGTTTGCGCTGTTGCACACCTTGTGCTTAAATACTTTGAATAGAAGTACTTTGAAGCCGGGGTGGGATTTCTTATTTTTATCTCCTGCTGTTGTGATACCCCATGCCACTGAAATAAAGCCTGCTTTGGTGTCTTCCCAGATAGATGGATTATAAGAAAGATGCTGAGGACGTCTCCGCGAAAGTTTTTTTCTATCTCCATGATACGGAAGGGTGGAAAGTGGTAAAATCTACAGTAAGAAAATGTCATATGTTTGCCTTGTTTGAACAAGTTCTCTCTTGCAAATAAAACAAAAAAGAAGTTAGAGCACAGGGATACCCTGATAGGCAGGAGATAATTAATTGTAAGAAAATCCAGAAAGCTTTGTTCAGTCTGTAACTTGGGGCAAACAGGCAATTGAAAGAAGAGGTGCCTGGAGTTGTAATGCACAATTTCTGGAATCTCACTGATTCCTCATATCCAGCATATCTATTTATTTAGGAATACGTCTCCTTGCAGTATATACAGTCTCGCTAGTAGGAATAAATATTTATGGCAGTGTTTCTAACCTTGGCCCCTTTAAGATACATGGACTTCAACTCCCAGAACTCCCCAGCCAGCCATGCTACCTTATAATCTTCAACTGGCTGAAGATATGGTGGGTTCATTTAGGATACAGTGTATTATTTGAACCTGGCAATTGGGTTAATTCAGTAAGCCATAGTTCAGATAACTCCGAATTAGCAGTGTCAAAGTAAGCTTTAGAAAGAAGCTTGGGTAAAAATGTTAGAGATAAGAATGCGTTGAATGCATATAAATTCTGTTCGATCTGCGACAGCAAGGCTATAGTTAATCCGTGTGCCCTGCAGTTGATACAATCAGTGGTATCATTTGAATGGCAGGTCCCCAAATTTTGCTTTTTTTTATCGCTTTGGTGGGACTGATGGTGCTTTAAATGGCGAACTGGGTACCTTAAGTCTTACGGAACAACCCCATTTCTCCAGTTTTTCAAGATTCTAAAGTAGTGTTTTTCAACTTTAGCAACTTTAAGATGTGTGGACTTTGACTCCCAGAATTCCCCCCCCCCCCCCACTTGCCGGGGGATTTTCGGGAATAAAATTCACACAACCTAAAATTGTTTTAAATTAAAAAAAAAAATTTTAAAAAATTTAA